GAAATAAAAAATTCATCCGGTACTTGTTTTATATCTTCCCGTTGATATGCAATGGAAGGCAAATTTGCTAAGTCCAAAATAGGCACAGAAAGTTCTATAAGACACAAAATATTGCGAAATCTTTTAATTACCATCGAATCCTTTTCATTTGTATGGCGTTTTGCTTTGCTTTAAATGCACTCAAAATGTTGCCTTCAAAGTTTTGCAAAATACTTGAAAAAATGGCTATAAGAAATCTTTGTAAAATTTGTAAAAATGCAACTTCCACATTAAGCTAGCAATGTTTAGAATTCGTTATGTAGAAGTGTTTGAGCCGACACTTCGTTTGCAAACGGGACTTTAACCGAATTCCGAAGGTTTTCATGCTAAAAATTTGTATGGAAAATCACGCAACTACGAGATTTTTCCAAAAAAAAATTTTGATATATTGAATTTTTAATTTTATCAATGTTCATTATCGAAGCTTGACTGTGTGTTTTAACTTCTGCATTTCCACCAAAGGCGTGATAAGAACTTACATGTGCTTATGCACTTACATATATACGTATGTAAAAGATTTGCATGAGTATGGGAAACACTCGTCTTCGCTCTATATCGATTTCCCTGCAGGAGATTTCCCTAGCCCAAAAATGGTTCAATATGCGTTCCTTTTTCCACAACACTAGTTTCCGCTCAATCTCCGAACAATGGCTACAACTGTCTTCTTTATAATGGCACCTCCATTGGCGGTAGACAGTTGCCCCATAAAAGAAAAGTCTCGTCCGTTGACGATTGTTGTCGCCGAGCGACCCGTAAGCCGATGTTACTTAAACAACAACAACGCAATACTTTGTTCGTGCACGTTGATGCTTGCACAGATGAACGAATCGTGGTTAGATTTGAATTTTTTACACTTCGTCTGCCAGCAGAAATCGGGATTTTTGAAGTATGTATCTAGTGTCCCTCATTGCATAACAAAGCAACCAGTCCAAGACTTATTCTGTTAGAGACCATTTCAGAACTAGTAACTTTATTTCATGCGGATACTTGCGCACGGCAGGGTTTTTATTTCAAATACAACACTTTGAATGACTCCCACCCGGGCTGGACATAAATACATATTTAGATTATCGTTTCACAGTTAAAATTTTGCACTTGCGACAATCAAACCAACTTGTGATCTCGGTGAGCTTTGAAAAGGTAGAGTGTAAGTTAATAAAATTATTTTACATCCGTTTGATTGTGAAATTATTTCCAACAGCCGGTTTCACCAGCAATTTAAATAGCAAATGATTTTTTTTTATTTTCTGTCAATTACCATATAAAATTCCAAAAATTAAAATCATTTTTCACTTAAATTGCTTTTGTGAAATTGGCTTCCATTAACTCATTTAGTGTTACTTTGATTGTTACCGAATATTCGGTAACCGAAAAATTTAAAAGTGTTATTAACAGAAATGAAATGAGAACTTTATTTATCGGCTAAAAAATTTTGTTACGAGCGCAGAACAGAATTCCCACGGAAAAGATACATACGGGTGTTTCCATGTAGCCGTACGCGACATTCGTACGCTTATGGAGTAACATAAATCTCTCAAAAATAGAAGTTACTGAAAAACAAGAAGAAAAATATAAGCAGCCTCGAAGCTTTGGTGTGGAAAATATCCGTTTAAAAGAAGGTGATAACGTACGCGACAAAAAAAGAAGTGTTTTTAAGGCACATATACATATTTGCGAAAGTCTGCGAATCATGGGAGTTTTTGTTTTTGTTAAAATTCCTAAACTAAGCTAAATAATGTACCTTTACAATCCTTCCATTTTTTTATCTCTGGTTAGTTTTTATTAAAAAAACATTATAACGTACGCGACAGATTTTTCCCCCATACAATATTTTTACTAGTAACACATACTAAATTAAATTTTTAATTTAATTTTTTCAGTTCTTTATACTTCTGAATATATATCATCAGAAAATATTGAAAATTCGCTTCAGATAATACGCTCTTTAAAATACATTTATGCAAGTTTTATGTACAGTATGTAATAAATAAATAAACTTTTTAAAGTTTCGTAAATTCCATTTTATTTACATAATATTTACAAAGAACTCAAACATTTTCAACCGGCTTCAAAAAAGGGGAGGTTATCAATTCTTTGGAGTGTTGTTTCTTCTTTTATGTATGCCACCGCATAACTTTGGACCGCGTGAACCGATTTCAATCATTTTTTTTTTACCGGAAAGATGGTACTTTAAGGGTTTAGATCCGATCATTAAATCATGAAAAAAATAACGGTACTCTTAAATTTGTATATGAGAATTGACGCGGGCTTTGCTTTTTTTGCTTAAAAATTACTTGTTTAATAAAAAGTTCTATAAACACAAGATGCACTCAACTTTCAAAAGTAATACAAAATTTTACAATAGAATTTTAATATATATAAATTTAATAATTCCATGAAATTTTTACACTTTTATGTTCATTTTCGTCGATTTCTGGTTTCGCATTTTTTAAATACTTCGAATACCGAACATTTAAAATTTGAGCCCCAAAACCCACCCCTTGTGTGCGCTAATGCTAAGTGCTCATATTTACTCAACTTTAAACACTTTGTGTGTATTTTTTCTCAACGTGATAAATTTGGTATGTAGCAGTAAACAGACAGTGATTAATTTTGCACACACTAGGAGAGGAAACTGGTTACCTCTATTTGTATGCGTAAATTAAAAAAAATTTTTTTAAAGGGAATTTTAAACACTTTATGTGTAAACTGTGAAATTGTGAACAATAAATGTTTAGAACTCAAAAAACAAATTTTGAAATTTGTTCTACGCCACACATATGCTAAATAAAAGTAAGCAAGCAGTGTTTAATTTAATTAACACGGTGTGTAAATTTGCATTCATTCAGAGAGAAAACTGGTTACCTATCTTAATATGCGCAATATTATTATATTGTATATGTAAGTAGGGCGCGTCAGTTTGTGTGGAACGATTTCGACGGAAGTTGAAGTTGCGACTTAAAATTTCAACCGCTTTTCAACTTAAAAAAAGTACTAATTTTTGTACATTTTTAATCGTTGAACCTACATTGAATATTTAAATAGTAGTAAGTAGTTACAGAATATTG